ATTCCTTGAAAACTTTCAAAGTTTTACTTGGCAGATTTCAAAGACAATTTAAAAGCTATAGACAGAGAACTTTCAGATTTCAATAAAAAATCATGTTTATAAATAGACATATAATAGGTAGGTTGGTAACTAAAAACATAACCAAAGGAGAGTAAAACATTGCACAACAATGATAATTGGCTCTTCTGAAGATACCAATAAGCCTGAGAGAAATTATAGATAGATAGATAGAATAGATATTATTGGTTAGCAACAGAACAATAAAGTTTTTAAGTGAGATAACAGCCCAAAATGCAATATGCCATGGGGTATGTAGTTGCAAAGCATGAATCTACAAGCAAAACTGTTAGTGAACCTTCACTATAGTAGCATTTTACAGAATAACTATATGCACTAGCTCTATAATGAAGTTTCACTAACTGATGGACGATATACAGATGAATAACATACAATTGTAACTCACAAGTAATTTGTCACATGACATCACATTTAAAAAAAACACACAAAAAAAAACACCTATATTACCAGTTATGGCAGAAGTCAAATAATTCTAGTCTTGAAAGTGACATGTTTCTACAAACTTTGGATCACATCACCAAGATAATGAGAAGGTATGGTATGGGAAAGTACCATACTTGCCACAGACTTTAAATCACAATCAACATGTTTAACATGCAGTTCGTTTAAAATACTGCCTACTGTACTATACATAAGGGATACTTTTAAAAGTAAAGTATAATATTCAAATCCGCACACTACTAGGTTTTAAAATTTGGACAGGTACATTTACACATTTAAACAATGAAAAAAGACACTAAATTTTTTCTTTGGATGTTTTTTTAGTCGGTTGACAGCTCTCATAACATAAGGCACATACATGCCTTGACTATCAAGAACGGCATGAACAGTGGTCACAGCTGGCATTTGTTCTAAATGCAACAGATGATAAACCCTGCAGCATAGGTAATATTGTTGAACTTTCTCAGCCTCATTTATGAATTCTGAGAGATATTCATCAAGTGAATGCAACCCTCTTAAATCAGCTGTTTTGCATTTCTTTAGATATGGAGCAAACCCAGCTATCAATTGGTTAATGGTCAAACTAGGTGCTATTTGATTTCGTGAAGTACACACCTCAAGTCTTTCAATCTTTTGAATTGTGGGTTTGGCAGCTTCTATTGCTTCACTGAGGTTGAGGGGGCCATGATCTGCAATAACTTTCAAATATTTTAAGGACGACAAGCGTGAAATAGCTCCAATCATACTACATGGTATGGTGATATCTTCCACTGATGAACATGCTGATAAGGATTGAATGAGATGCACTGATGTTTCATTGAAACTGCAAGTGACGGTCAAACTAGAAACAACACTACCAAGATCCCTAACTATTGCAGATGCAATAGTTTCCTGGCCCCTAACTCGAAGGGAACGTAGTGAGTGGCATCCAGCTGAGATTTGCTTGTTGTAAGGAATATCGGAGCTGTTTGGCGAAATGCGGACTGATAGACTGCGTAATTCTGCCAATGAGCCAATTGTATCGAAGAATTCCTTCCATTCATCTGGCTGGGCATCCTGGCCAGCAACCTGAGTATAAAACATATGATACGCGGGTCAGATAATAACCATAAAATCAGAAATACTACATTACACACTCCAGTTCCAGTCTTCAAGATTCTGTTACCTGCAAGTCCAACATTCGTAAGGTTTTGTCGTATTTTCGGAGGATGGATAAGGAATCTTTTGGATGGCGCAAAATTATCCTCATTGAACGCACAGATGTTGGATTAGGGGATAGTGCCAACTGTCGTACTTTCTCCACCTCAATTTCATTTGGAGCAAGAATCTCTAGGTGGCCAATCACAGGAGCATGACGCCATACACGAAGATCATCCCATAGGCAATAAATTGCCTTCTGCCATGACTCTGCATCAGTGGCTAATTCATGCCACCTCTTGCACACCAATCCTGCTCCATACAACAGTTCCTTGGGCTTGAGGTAAGTGAAGATTGTCACTAGTATCTCGTTTGGCAGTTTTTCAACAAAACATTGTCTAAAGAAATAAATTTGTTGCATCAAAAGAATTATCTCAATGGTTACATAGTTTAAAACAAGAATAGACCTGGAAAATACTAACGCTTCTGGTTTCTGGGAGCTTTTCTCAACAGGAATGTTTTTCGCTGGGCTTTTCTTCTTTTTCCTAGAGACAAAATAATGATCCAAAATAATAAAAATCACACACACGTGCCATGCGCTCAACAAGCAGAACAATTAACATTAGGTGAAAAAGGTGGATTTAGGTTGGTGAAGATAAGTGAAGAACATCAACCATATCTGTCTGTCAGCTGCTGAGAGAGAGCTATAGGTATACGACTTCATCTTCATTTTCTTCCTTACTTCCATGTGTCTTCACCACCCTAGATCCACCCAGATAAAAATTATTATACTGGTATTTTCCAAATATATGAGGGTAATGCTAGTAGTAGACAGTGAGGAGTATATAGATAGCAATGTATAAATGTATATCAATCTACTTTCTTGGCCAGGGGTTGTCAATAAAGCCTAGGTGGTAGCAAGGTGAAGGTTACCAACATCTTTGGGAATCAAACTTACACAATTGAATCCGATCCAGAGGCAGGCAGCTCCATATTGAGAGTTGTAACACACGATGATTTAAATTTAAAAAGATTCACAACGGTATTGCTCGAGACGAAACATGGATGATGATTTGTCGAGCTGTCATGGCTGGCTGTTGAAGCCGGAATCAAACAAACAGCAGACGAAAATACGGACTGAGTCGCTGGTTTAATTCTTTCAGATTCTGCACAGCTTATGTTTTAATTATATATTTTAATAGTTGTGAAATATATAAATAATTATTAAGCGTATTAAATGTCCTGTGAAAGTCAGCCTTCTCGAAGACTTTGAACCCTATAAACAAACACAACTAAAAATGTAAACGCCAACGCCAATCTCTGAGCCTAGTGGCATAGCGTAGAGTGTGAGATGGATGGAGAGACGACTCGGTACCGTTAGTGGTTTTCCCCCGGTCGGATCGGGAGCCTTCGGCGCTTTCGGCAGCCTCCGAGTAAAATCCGTGACGTCATCGAAATTCTAATTTCCATTGGGTGCCCGGAGAGAGTTGCCCCCTGTCCGGTTGCGTTCTTCTAAAGATTTTAGTACAGTCTTCAAAAGTTGTAAATAAAAAGCTAAAATTTTAGGGACTGTATCTGAAATCGGAACCGGAAGTAGGAAAACACTCCTCCTCCTACCGTTGGAGTCACCTTGACTCATTATGTGCCTAGTGACGTCATCACACGACTTGCGTCATCACCTCATCGGTTGTTTGTATGTTTCGAAAGTGAGGGTACTTACTATTTTTTCCAGGTGTGTATCTTTATTGACGAAAGAGATTTTCCACATAGATATCCCTGTCTAAATTTTTGGAGTTAGTCTTGTACTTCGCTGGAATGTTATTTTGCCTTTAACTTATCCTAATCCAGCCGGCTGGAATTGTTAGTTTTGACTGTGAGGCCTAACAGAATGAAGGTCAAGTGCGATCTAAATGTTCTGTTTTATACCCAGGTCTGCTTGTAGACTAATCTCAAATGTTAAGAACTGTAACACGCTTAGGATCAAATCTTTCATTCGATTTATTGTTTTGGTCAGCTGCTGTTGATTGTTTTTCGTGTAGTCTGCTAGTTTGTAGGGCCTCGTTCTGCTCTTATCTCAGGTGGATAACTTTTTTAATTGGAACTTTGCTCACATTTCTTGAGGATAACTCAATATTCAGAATGAAAACCATTACATTTGTCCTGTTTCTATTAATGTCAGTGACACTGGTGCTCTATAGGTTCTTTTTTTGTTATGAAGTCTTGTTGGTCGCAGGGAGAGTTGTTTCTGATTTTAGATAAGCAGTCACCTTTGCCCTTTGTTAGAGTAACCATAGTTACCTACCAATCATGTCATCTCAATCATAGTATTGTTTATTCTTTTTTTCTATATCCCAATGTTGAAAATATGGATGATCTTCATGATTTCTCTTGTCATGTTTATTAGCAGATCTTGTGTTTACATTTTATTTTATGTGCTTATCCATATTTTTTTATTTTACAGGTATTCCACATGTGAGAAATGTCTGCGGCTGCTGTGCAACAGTTCCGGCTTCGCTGGAACAACCACCAGCCCAATTTTATTTCAGTGTTTACTACTCTCCTAAATTCTGAATCACTTGTGGATGTTACATTGGGGGCAGAGGGCAAACATGTGCAGGCACATAAAGTTGTTTTGTCTGCCTGTAGTTCATACTTCCAGGTAGATATAAATTTTCTCATATATTTTTTATGTATGCTGCTTGTTAGTTTTGAGTTATTATCAATCTTCAAATCTCTTTGACTCTTCTTTTCCCAGACTCTTTTTACATTGAACCCTTGTCAACACCCAATTGTGATACTGAAAGATGTTAAATATGATGATCTTAAGGTCATTGTAGATTTTATGTACTACGGAGAAGTAAATGTTTCACAAGAGCAATTGCCTGCAATATTAAAGGTAACATTTTTATTTAACATCCTCACACCACTATGAGCCACACCTTTTTAAAAATTTTGATTCTTAAAAATTTTTGCAACATGTTAGTGTGTAAAAATGAAATGTTTTAAAATATCTTTAAATTACAGACAGCTGAAATGTTGAAAGTAAAAGGACTTGCTGAAATGCCAGAACAGAATCATATATCATTGAGTAAATCTAGAAGCCTATCATCAGATAAAGGTGATGATGTGGCTACTCCTCCAGGAGATAGTGCCAGTGGCTGGGGCTCAGACTCAGTCCGTCACTCTCCCTCTCCTCAACCAATGTCACCAGCCATGAGACGTAAAAGACTTCGGAAAACTTCATCTGGTTCAGGTTCAGGATCAACAGGTAAATAGTCAGTTCTATTACTCCTTCCTCCAAAGTCCTAATGCATTACAACTGTCACTGTTGCCATGATGAATTTCCAGAAAGAACATCAGAGGAACTATCAGTAGACATAAATGTGGTGAAAGCAGAACCCATGTCTTTCCAATCAGAAGGTGAAAGCATAAGGAGTAGTGGCTCATTAAGAAATAGTCTTCAAGAAGCAAGTACAGAGTCAGAGCCTCCCGATGGAACATCTATAGAAAGTTTGGAAGATCCGAACCATATGGTACGCTTGTGAATTTTTGTTCAATTTAAATTGTAGATTTTATTGTGAAGCTGTAATTTACTATGATTGTCCTTTTCCTTCTAATAGCATTCATCTCAAGAGAATACAAGTGGACAAAATGCAGACAGTACACCAGGAACTTCTACCATGTACAATCCAACTGCAGGTAAGATAAACCAACTCATCAAATTAGATCTAACAAAATCTGTTTAGCAGATGTATTAGACTTTACTCAAAGGCCATCCGGTGGGTGTGTGTAAAGTTATAGCCAGTTCCAAAATAATTAAAACTCGTAGTATCTACCTGTACCATATAAGATAAGTAGTTGTGTTGGTATTGCACTTCCAGTTTGCTTCAATGCAAATTCACTTTTCATTTTTTAGAAGTTTTTTTTTCAAATATCCACAATTGTCTCAATTTTAAACAATGTTGATAATTTTGCCACTCAATTTGTTGGAGTTGAAAATTCGAGCTCTGAGCACCATAGCTTCTCCAGGAAGCCATTTATCAATAGTCACTGTGTTAAAATTCACCTGGGTTAACTTTTTTTCTCATTTCAAGTTCTAACTGTCTCGTAAAAAAAAAATGGTATTGTTCACAAAATTTTCTTTGTAAAACAACATTTGCATGCCTTCCCTTTTACCATAAATTGTAACACTTTAACCTAAAGCATGAATTACATATGGTTTGTCACTTTTTAAAGGTTTGCTTGTTTCCTTGTTAAACTTCTGTTCTCTACGAGCTGAAGATAGCATGTCTTTACTAGCACACTGAAAAGTTTCTCTGGACATGTTTTTTCTTCCCCTTTGTTTCCTAGTATTGTTTAATTTTCTATCTACTGCTGAGTGTGAAATTTGAGAGTGTATACTGAAGAGAAGAGAAGGAAGAAACACATGTTTGGGATTTTGCATCAAAGAGTGTTAGTAGTTATTTTCTGGTTTGCAATTTATACTTTTCTTAAATTGTAAATTGTTAGATTTTGATCTTTGTATTCTTGTAGATTAAAAGATTGTGCGTTCTGTAGCTATCGAGCATTCAAACATAGTTGTTGTCACTGTTTCTTAGGTTTCTTTTCTAAAACTTGTCTGTTGTTTCTTTTACTTACTTGCCCTTTCAAGAAGTGTGTGTATGTTGGTGCTACTTACAGATTTGCTTAAAATAAGAAATTGAGTCTGTTTACTGAATGAAACTTAGAATGTCACATATGCTACACAATATTGATCCTATGTCTGATCAAACTCAATTCTTTGTTCTTTTCTGTTAGTATCTTTTTTGTAAATTTGGCCTTGAGGATGGTTAAATCCTTGTTCTCTGACAGTACTTCATTCTTCGTTATTAAGATTCTGTAGGATGTTGTCCGCGTAGAATTATGAGATTTTTTATCTTGCAGTAGGATTTTGTAGTCTAATTTTTGTAATATTTGGGACCTTTAGGAAATTTGGTTTTGTTTTACAGCAACTGTAAACTTTTAAAACTAGTTTGCGAACTATTTTTTATTTATAAAGTTTTGGAAGCTCAGCTTATGTCTTATGTCGCTAGATAAGCCGGAGCTGGAAGAGAGAAGAGTAAAACACATCATCTGAGTCAACATTTGCCTCTCCCTAATGTCTTTTTACTTTATTCAGGAAATCCTTGGCTCAACTTTACTCCTGCCGAAGAGTACATAATTAATGAAGAGAACAAAGAACGCAGGGAGACCTTTTACTATGACAATCCACAATATGTTGAGCCAGCTCCAAGGGGTTCAAACCATGATCATCCACAAGTTTTTTGGCCACCACCCCCTCTCCAAGCACCCCCAGTTGTCCCTCATGGTGATGTGTATTTTAAACGGAAACCGCAAGATAATGAAAATTTTAAACTTGCTTTGGATGCTGTGATGAACAAAGGAATTGGATTCTGCAAAGCTGCAAGAACATTTGGAGTAAATAATAGGACACTTTGGTTGGAATGCAGAAGACTAGGATTTCTAAATCCAAGAAGTAAAGTTGCCGCACTACAAAACTCCCTTTCGTCTAGAGATTTGTCCCGTTCATGAAATTGTTTGCTATTTTCCTCTCCTTTATCTTCCTTACCCTTGAAGATAGTAGCAGTTGAAGGCACCAAGATGAACAATGAAAAACAGATTCAGCTATATAGAGTTGCCAAAATTAGTATATAGTTTTCAAAACCATATAGTAAGGTGGCGTATGGTTACCTTTTTTTAGGTTGTTTGCTGTTTTGTAAAGATAATGTGAGTTTAATAACGTAACTTCATTGCTGTCCCTTTATCGTAAAATTCTGTAATTTTTTTCATAGTTTTTTAGTACAAATTTTTCTTATACTGCAAATTATTCCCAGCAACTGCATGCTTTACACTAAGTACTATATTCGTTGTTATGGTTATTTTGTTACTATAAATTTACTTGTTAAGGGAAGTGCTGCTTTTTTCTTTAAACAAGTGAAACATGCCAGTATTAATACTTGATAAGATTTGTGCTGTTTTCCTCATGAAAAAAAATAATTAATCTGGATCACTGGCCAATCTAGTAAGTTTTCAGCAGAGACATGTGGATGAAGTTTTTCTCTCTTTGAGCCACAATATCCTTTATGGGTGTTACATATTTTGAGGTAGTTACCACTGCAAGGTGTAGATGTAAGGGTTAATTTTAAAATCTTGATAAAAATATGGACGACTCCATCTTTCTCTTGTTGACAGAAGATGAAGAACAAATCAAGTTCCTTGGTCACTCTACGGAAAGCCGATCTGTACGTGAGGCATTGAACAAGCGCAAAAAGTCTGTTTTTACTCTGCGAAAAGGGACCACAGAAAACTTCATGCAAGCTATCGAAGAAGTTCGAGAGGGACGAATCAGTTTCTTGGCTGCTGGGAAAAAGTATGGTGTGAGCCACATGACTCTGTATCGCTATTACCTTAGCATGGGTTACCCCCTGGTTAGAAAGTCAAACCGCACTTATCATGCCAATAGCCAGGAGTATGATTTTCTGGGAGATGTTACGGTATCACGTCCTGCTGAATCACGGAGACCTCCTTGGAACTTCAGTGCCTGTACTACAGGAGGGCCCTATAGTGGGAATAGTGGTTCTAACCCAAATGACCAACATTGGATGTAGATTTGAACACAGAGCTTGTCTATTCACATTACTCAGTTTACAGTCTGTATCATTCATGTTTCTCTTAATTCTATTGGCATGTATTCACTTCTACTTCCAAAATTACTTGTACTTTTCATCCCCACAAATTTTAATGGAGGTTTTTCTTCTTACTCCCACTTCGTTTGCTGGTGTATGTGCAATCTCTGCAGTTCTGTGTTTGTAGTCGTGCTATTTTATAGCAAATATTAGGAATGTTACCAAAAAAATAAATACCAAACCGTACCAAACAATTCTATGCTATCCTCATACACAATGAGAATCGTAAGTGTATAATGTCCTTAAAGTTGTGTTAATTTTGAAACCAAAGTGTAAATAGCCCCTTATGTACTTCTGAAGACTTAATAGATGCTGTACTGTTTCTCGAATTTGCCTCTTCTTTCCATTGTTTGTACAAAATAATTTGTTTTTGTTTTTATATATGTTTAAGAGTTGCCATTGGGACTGTGTAGTATTGTTAAGGATTTTCTTGTGCCTTTTTAGCAGTAGTTATAGAAGAACCACAACTCATCACACTTAAACTGTAATTTGATTGAGTAAAATCATTTTTGTAGGAACACTTTGCTCACTCTGTACAATTCCTATCCAACTATTTGTTAAAGTGATGATGATGATGATGATGATGATTATAATTACAGTCAAAGTCAAGTTAGTGAAAGAACTGATAATTAGTTTTATGGGTTGTAGTGTAGGAATTTGGGTCCAATCAAACGATAATCCTTCATATTGTAATTGCTTCATCTGATAGGTCATTTCAGTTTATTCTCATTGTTATCTGTTGACTACATATTCAGTTTTATAAGATATCACTGCCAGTTTTACAAAGTAGGTGGAATAAGACTTTGTTGTCCAGTTCGCCATGAACAAGCAGCCTTGAAGTCCTTATTGAAGTTTAAGTCTGCAACGCCCCCATATACCTACAGTGAATACACATATAACTTCTGATATCCTATTGTGGTGTGAGTCTGTCACTCTTCTATGAGCAGTTGTGAGACTCTCATTCTACTCTTATTTAATTTTTTATCCAATTCATTCTATTTTTGTTTTGGTTCTAATTGATCAATAGACAAAGAAAAAAGTGTCAAATTTATTTTCAAATATTATGTCTTAGGAATTTGTTCTCTGCATTACAGTACTTAACCTTGATACATAGTACCAGTATTACAATCTCTAGTTGAATTCTGTTTGTTTCACAGGAGGATAAAACTACTTTGTGACCTAACCCTTGATGAATCAAACATGACAGTGCCTGGCTAATGACTGACATAGAATTATACTTGAAAGTTTACATGGGCAGTTTGTTTGTATTATGGCTGTACCAGTTTTGGTGATCTTGTAATATAAATATGGTATAAAAAAAAGTGTTTGGATTGTTTTCTTTCTTGTCCTGAATCAAGTCAGAGCCAGGTTAAAGACTTTTCTTTATCTCAGATCTAAATGTAAACCTCCCACCCTCCGATTTGTAAAAAAAAAAAAAAAAAAAAAAAAAAAAAAAAATCTGTTTTGATGTACTGAAAAATTGACCTATTTTTTAATAAAGTGTTACAATAAAACTTGTCGCTGTCTTACACCAAACTTAAGATATGCCTTGTTATAACCTGGACATTAGATTTTTTATATCTCAGGCAATTTTGTTTGTGCCATCTTTCTTACCCCTCCTGGTTTTGGTTTTTATATATTTTAAAATATTATTTTGAGTTTTTAAAGTAATTTTCTTGGCTGAAAACAAATGTTGTTGTTTTTTTTTCTTTTTTCTTTTTAACACTTGAAATTTTTACCTCAAGATTCTAATAGTTTGTTCTGTTGGAAAGCAGAAGCAAGTCTATTATATTCTTTGACATCAAATTTTATATAGATATCTTGTTCTGCAGGAAGATTTGGAAGCAAACGTGGACGTCATCTTATCCGCCAGTCTCGAGTGAAGAAGGATTGTGACACTGCTGGAGCAGCTCAAACATCGCCAGAAAGTGACGAACAAGGCTCACCTCATGTACACAGCTCTGTCAAATTGGAACATTCATCACCAGATCGCTTGCCAGCAAATCAGACTCCTTCACGGGGCTCCTCTCCAGTTCCTATTCGAGAAATATGTGTGAAAAGAGATGGCTCTAGAGAAAAGATTTCTACTGTAAGTGCGTTTTTGAATTCATTTCAAATCTAATTCTAGAATTATATCTATCTTAAATGATCTGTCTTTTTGTGTAAGTTGCCATTTTTAATATGTTTTAGGTCACTGTTTCATCTAGTGGGGGTCAGCAACTTACTGTCCCAGGTTTGAGAATTGAGCGTCAAATTTCTGACTCCAAACAGCCAAGTTCAATATCGTCACCACAGCCAACCAATCAGTCCATGGTGGGTAAAAGTCTCCTTATTCAATTTCTCTTGCCCTAAGTTCCAACTTATTTCTAATATGTGTATGGTTTTCAGTCTCTTTTAAGTGTGCCGACAACGTATCTTGTGAAGCAGCATTCTCATCCAAATCTTCCTAGCCATAGCAGTGCGCCTCTTGTTAATGTTGTACAACGGCAGCACTCACAGCCCAGCAGATTACCAACACAACACCCATTTGTAAGTTCATCTATTAAACTCTTCAACTTTTGAGAGTCATCTTAACAATAATACAACTAAAAAATGAATGCCCTATTCTAGATGTCATCTTTAAGTCTCGAGAGGATGCCTGAGGGTGAGCCGTCTCCTACCTCAGTGTCTGTGGTGTCAAATCCCTCCTCAAGTATGGGATCTGCTCAATTAATGCGTCTTGTTGCTGAGCCGCCTCTAAGTTTACGAAGAACTGCATCATCATCTCCTCAGGTGTGGGACCAGTTAGTTCACTGTGATATGTACTGTGTGTGAATGATCCACCTTTCTAATTTCTGTGTATTTCCTATATTTCAGTCATCATCACCATTAGATCTAGGTCCCAGTGCAAGTTTGACAATAGAACCTGCACGTTCTGGACATTGCCCTGTGCAACGTGAGGGTCCTGCCCTAGGATGTAATTTCTGCTGGAATACTATTGACAATCATGGTCGCACACTAAGGAGAAAAACCAAGTACCACTGTCCTGAATGCAAAACTAATTTGTGCATCGTACCTTGTTTCCAGGTAATTATAATTTAACTTCCTGACTATTGTTACAATTTTCCCCTTCAACACTTTGTTTTTTAATTTATTTTATGAATTTATAGGAATACCATGAACAGCAGAATAAGAAAGAGGCTGCGTTGGGTTCATTAGCAACAGGCAGTACTTCATCAAGTTTAGTCCGACTTCTACCTAAGACAAGCTCAATTTGAGTATAATTTGAGACCAGACCAAGCTTGTTTCTGAATATTGGAAAATTCATTATGTGCTGTGAAACTCATAGTCATAACATCAAAATCTTATTTTGAATGTTGTATCCTGCCTTTTGTGGTGTATTGTGTTCTCCTGACTGATTGTTTCTAAGATGTTTACAATGTTGTGTGTGTGTGGTTTTTTTTCTGTTTTGTGTGCTTGTTGTAACTCTACAGTAAATGATACTAGTTGCCTTCATTTAATTTGTTGTAGCAGCAATGTTTGGGGCTCACTTCAGCTCACAGCTTGCAAATTATCCCAATTTTATTGCACTGTGTATCGGTAAAATAGTTTACTCTCTGTTCGTTTGTTTTGATTCTTTGAGTGTAGCTCTTATAATGTCTTAATTTAATTTCAGAATAATTTTAAAAGTGAAACTTAACCTCTTATTTTTTAGTCAAATATTATAGGGATTTTCTCTTGTTTCTTTTAGAAAGTTATAATTCTGTGAACTGAACAGTCCAAATTGTTGATTTTTTTTAATTACTTTTTTTCTTTAGAAGGTTTTGAGGCCTTTGATGAAAAATATTTTACTTAGATGATTTGTCATTTTCTTCTCATACCTTAAAATCTTCACTTAAGCTGTTTTCTAATGTAACATTTCCTTTGTCAAATCAGTATTATGTTCATAGGTAAATGTGTATATAGGTTACTATGGTGTAACATACCCAAATGCCACATCTGTTCTGGTAGTTTCACTTAATTGTTTCTTTTTCCCCTGTACAATACCATCTGCAGTAATTGGTGAATTGGTGCACGATTTGGATAAGAGGTGACATCAAACTGCAGATTTACATATGGTCAAGGTTTATGTGAAAAGGGGTCTTAAAGCCAGGAGACTGAATAATGTTCCATGCATCGCAGAATTTTTCGTTCAATCCCCCATCAAATTAAAGGTTCTGTTTCCTTCATTTGTTCAGTGCACAATGCTGAAAAATGCAGTTTGTGTTATTATAATCTTAATTTATCAATAGTACAAGAAGTATGTCTCATACTTTGTAAATTTTTCAAAGGAAACTTTACAATTTTGAGGAAACATGAAGCACAAGTAATTTCTAAAATAGAGGTAATGAAATAAATCACTATTTTCTACAGAGTTAAATGCTATTTCATGTTAGGTAGAGTAGATTGTGATGTGACTGTTATGACAATAGTCTGTTCTTCTCTGCAATGATTACCTTAGGAATTTTGTGATGATTTTGGTGTCATCACCTCATTTCTAGATTGACATGCTGAGTAATGTGTTTTGTTTGATCATGTAAGTATGGCTTTCTCATTCCTAGAGTGTCTGCTACTGTTACCTGTTAAATTATGTCTGTGTTATAATTTAATAGCTGTTTTTTTTTGTTTTTTTTTTAACAAACTTGGTAAGACTAAAGCAAGGGATCGAAAGTACAGTACATTTAAGCTGTACTTAGTAGTACTTGGCTATAGACACGTTCACTTTGCCAAAAGTGTTCGGATTTTGAGCGGGCTACTTCCTAAAGTGTTCTACTTCCAAAATGATGAACAAAAATATTTTTTTCAGATTTTTTGGACCAGGGGAAAAGGTCCCCCTAGGCCTTCAAATTTAACATGGGGCTCTTATGGAAGAAAAGCCAAAAAAGTGAAATTTGCCATTATCGGCTTCCAAATGCAATTTTTTTTTTTTAATCTCTTTCGGAAATGGAATCTACGCGTTAAAACGCATCCGGAGACGTGCCACACTTCATAGACGTACCAGAGGTTCTTGAGCTCTCCTATAGGGAAAAGGGCGAAAAAGGCTGATTTCAAGGAAAATTCTAGAAAAATTGTACAAAAACGAATATTGTGTTAATAAAGTGTGGCACGTCTCCGGATGCGTTTTGACACGTAGATTCCATTTCTGAAAGAGATTTTTTTTTGAAATTGCATTTGGAAGCCGATAATGGCAAATTTCACTTTTTGGACTTTTCTTCCATAAGAGTCCCATGTTAAACTTGAAGGCCTAGGGGGACCTTTTCCCCTGGTCCAAAAAATCTGAAAAAAATATTTTTGTTCATCATTTTGGAAGTAGAACACTTTAGGAACTAGCCCGCTCAAAATCCGAACACTTTTGGCAAAGTGAACGTGTCTAACTTGGCTAGACCTTCAATGCCATTGGCAATTGAAGTAATGTTGATCCCTTGTTCAGAATCGGTCAAGTATTTGTTCTTGTTGTTGTTATCATAATTGTTTATTTAGATGTATATTAGAGCTAAAATTTGTTAAGTATATACTTGTATATAAAAAATGATATTTGTAAAACAAAAATCAAATTATATTATTTTGTTAAGAGAAAGTTGTATTTTATCTATGTCACCATTCTTCCACCCTTACTTGTACTTGTTCTATTCACAATTAGAAATGTTTGGTGATGTGATGTCAAAACTACTCCAAACGTTAATTTCACTCCTATTACATCTATGATATAATTTAAGTATTAGTGCAGGGTAACCACACAATCTGCAACTCATGGATATTGCCAAGGTCTCACTTGTCGTCGTTTTAGAGATTTTGGTGACAGAACATATCTTCGTCATCAAGGAATTCGGTAACTCAGATTGCTTGTGCACCCTTACTAGTTTGTATAAGCTAGCTACTGATAGAATATTTTAAGTATTTCCTGATGAGTTGAAACTGGCGGAAGACTGCGAGTTACCTATTCATTGAGAAACTAGTACCCAGAGAAACTAATTATGACTGAACAATAATTTATTAGAATTTTGCAAAGTTACATCATACCACTATTTTATCCACTTCTTATAAACTTCCATAACAAGAAACAAATCACATATACAAAATGACTAAATATCTCATAAGAAAATAGAAGACAAGGTACAGGGTGTCCATTACAAAGCGGGACTACCCTGAGTTTCGCAATCAGTCAAAGCCACTGATTTGAATTGAGGTAATAAATGGATCCTTTGCTGCTCATCAAAAGCGACACACCCAACCCACTTTATAGTAAACACACTGTACAGGTCGTTTCTAAGACAAGCCATCAGCCCAAATAACATTAAAAAATCATGATCCAAATTTAAACTTGAGACGTAAATATGATACCACCATGATATTTTGCTGTTAATACTGTAGCACATTGTAATATACAAACTGATGACAGAGATGAACATGCAATATATTAGGCATCAGAGACCACTATAGCATTTTTGCTGGTAATGCCAAAAAAATGTCAGTACAGCCACAGCAAAAATTTGAGCTGGCAGTCTCAATACACCCACAAAGCTTTCAAAAGTAAAATAAGAAAATCAAGCAGTGATTTTGTGCACTTACAAAAAGTGTCCGCTGTTACAAAATAAAATGACCTACGTGAAGTTCATGAGCTAATTTAAAATGCATGTAATTTTTAGTGACACATTCACCCATAATGAATCAAATTAAAAAAACAGCAACACAAAATATATTACAGTATAATGCAGTAATCAGACTATATTTGCTCTAGAATCAAACCTTACAAGCAGTAGTGGTAGGGTGTCACAAAAGAATTTCATTCATATCCAATTCCAATTTTCATAGTTCTGCAGGCTCTAGGAAAATTGTTTAACATACAAAAGTAAAATTTAAAAAACTCTATTTTCATCTACCTTTTATAAGCTTTCAGAATGTAGTTGTAGTTCTACTGTGAAGCATTTAGACTTAAGAAATAGTAAACTATGTCATGCTGCTGCCTTTGAGTAACCAACATTAACATTATTCATTGTATAGACAGCAGTTAAGAGTACAGAGGATTATTGAACAACTTGCAAAATAATGAGAAGGAATGTTATTTTTACTGCCGGAATGAGACTAGACAAAAAACAAAATTCGGAAAAATCTCATAAATAACGTTTTTTTATCCAGGACGGTAACACAATCATTTTATATCTACCTAATGTTAATGATTTTTTAACTACATACTTACATACAACAAAGGCGGTACTTGAGACACAGTTTTGTTGTTTGGTTAATGCTATTGAGTTGTCCTTCACAATCAAAACGTATATGGCACAAACTCAATACGGACTTGAGACGATTTAAAAGAAAGGGCATAATAGCTGCAATGCAGCTGCAAGATGAAAACACAATTGCAAAACATACAAAATCTGGCCACAATGTAAAGTAAAGAAACTTGAGTTTGCCACACTAAAAATTTCATACATAAGTACACCTCTTTATGAGTTTCTGAGTGATTGACCAGTTGCTGATGTGGTAGTAGTAATAATACAAAAACAAGAAAGAAGAGAGTTAATGGGTCTATGAGGCTTAAAATAAGTAATTATCAGCAAAACAAAATTGCATAAAATTTAATAAAGATATCTTTATAACAATTAAAATCACTTAGCCTTGATTGGCTTTAATATGTACTCTATATGTATGTCAAGACGAATATGACAGTCCTCTACACAGGCAATATTACTTGATGTTGTATTTATACAATCTTATGCAGGCATAAACACAAAGACTACGTTAAAATTTTGTTTTAACAGTTATGTTTACCCATCAGTAAATTTGATCGTATCAGAGAACACCAAATAACAAACAATAACAAATCAACGAATTCAACACCAAAGAGTTTGGCATTAATTGGATTGCCACACAATAATAATAATAATAATGATCAGCACAATGGCCAAAATTGTGAACAAAATACACTTCTTCTTTCGAATTTTATTCTGAAAAAGAGGAAAAACATGAGAGTCAAGAAGAAATAGGGATCACTCAAATTAATCAATAAGTGCCAGCAAAGGTCACAGAACTAACCTGATAGCCGCTAGCTTTGTTTAACTGTCTTGTACCCTCTGACACTTGATGAGTTGCTGATTCAACATTTGCTTCAATGCTATCAATAACAACTCCTTGGTCATGCACAAGTTTTCCCAAATCAATAAAGATTTGATTAAGACCTTGTATGTCTTCCTGGTGAGGAAACAATAGAGAGACTACAGTTAATATGTTCGGATAAAAATTCAAGAATTTAACAAGGAGAACTATTAATAACTGACCTCCAGTTGCAGCAGGTCTCTCTCTTTGTCTTCAAGTTCTTGCAAGTTCAGCTGCTCTTGTGCAAGCATTTTTTGGGTCTGCTTCTGAGATGGTGTAGAACGTGATGAAACATTATCTAACTCTATTAAAGGCTCACTATATTTACCTGAAATAATTTAAATACAAGTGACGTTATCTCAAGTTATAAACAGGTCTTAGTTGAACTCTATCACAGGTCACAACACTAGTAACTAGCAAAGCACAACGAACCCGGTGGAGGACGGAAAGGATCTGGTGCTTTCATGTTTGCTCGTGTTCGCTGGACCTCTTCTTTTTCTTTGTCCACTGCTCTCCGTTGTGTTGTTTGGAATGAACTCAGAGCAGCCATAAGTTCTTCCATTAGACGATCTTTCTGCATTTTCCATTGTCTCTGAAGAAAAGTTAAAAGTGTACAAGATTTGGTCATTTCGTAACTTACTGATCACTGTGCTCGGAAAAAGCACCCAAGTCACATAGAATTCAGGTATAATGTTAAAGGATGAATGAAAATGAACAGAGAAAAAAGAGTATGCGCTGCACTTGCACACTATTCTGGTGAATTTGTAGCAAATCATCAGTGCACCTCTTCACCCTCCATTTATTAACACTGCTACAGAAAATTTATCAAGTTCAACATTTTATTAATAATTTACTAGTTTTGATATCTTTTGGTAAAAAAATAAAAGGACTAAAGGGATTTAAAGAAACATACCGCATCTGAGGTGCCTGGTGGAGCTTGGATATTGCTTAATTGCTCAAGTTTAGTTTTGGTATCCATTGCTAATTGGTTGGTGTAATGCTGTATTTGATGACTGGGAAATTAAAGATAGAAAAGTTTACATAGATCTTTTAAGTGTTTTAGTGTTCCTTGTAATAGAAGACATAATACTTACAGTTGAGCTCTAAGGTCAGGTGAATCCTGATGTGTGCCAATTTGATCGACCATTTTATTCATAGAAGAAACTGAAAAATTACCATTTGAAAGTCAGGACTTTGTCGCAAATAAAATTTAACGCTTTCAATATCTGCCAGAAATAATTAGATCAAAAACAGAGCAAAGCGGATACGAACCATTTTGAGATATCTTCTGAATACTTGTTCCAATACTTTGAGCTAATTTCATAAAGTCCTTCCCGCCACTGGGGCCACTATTGTGGTACGACAAGAAACCTGGGCTGTTGTCCATGATGCCTTTAGTTGTTCTGCTATTGAATTAGGTCAAAACCTATGTCTGAAAGAAAAATCATAAGTATATATATGTATATAATATAATTTTACAATGAAACGTATGGCCACAGCTGTGCACATTGCCCTACTTGAACTTAAATAATATTGCAATGTCAATGACACAAATATAATGCAACTGTTTATAGAAAAAGATAAAACTAATAAAAATGTTTAGCAATATCATAAATTTTTAAATAGTGTTTTCATCTAATGGCACAAGAAAAGAAGTAGAGGTTAGAAGAGCATAGCTCGATAAGGACTAAGAATATCTATAGTTGTAATTGTAACAGGCATAGTGCAGATTGAAATGTTTGTTCACCACGAAAGAATGGCTTGCAAGTCAAAGTGGATTTTGAAGAGGATGATAAGGCCCATAAAGACGAGTAACTACGCCACAATGACAGGACAGAGAGATTATGACACACGTCGATCAAAGTTATTATCTTGAGTTCGTTGTACCTGTCATCATAATATAAGGGACTCATAGAATGTACAGGAGAAATTCTCACCTTGATTGACAGATTGTAATACGACAAGAAGTCAAAAAAATTGTATTATTTCACTATCCGTGACAACAAATGCATCACCAACACTCCAACACCCACCGACTGCACTAGCCATTCTAGTCAGAGTGGGGTGGGGGGAAGAAGAGGCCCGCATTCGGGAGAAAGCAGGATAGAAAGGGGGGAATAAGGTAGACATAACTTACCTCTGGTCCTCTCTGGACAGAAATTTCAAGAAACGGAAGAAAGGGATTGTCTCCGGATAACTGTACTGACCTTAGAAACTTCGAAAATTGTTTTGTGGTCAGCTATAAGCTATTTTTAGTCGTTTCCTGGAGGTCAAAGAAAAGTGTTTGAAGACTTTTTTTGTTTGAGGGTTACAGGCTTGCACACTGCACGACGGTCTTGGCTTGGGTCATAGAAATCGCAATAGCAATGCCATGTTAGGAAGGAGAGAGAGATAGGAGAGGCCTAGAAATTTTGTGGTTTAAGGTTATGTCGAATTGTTTATGTACCATTTATTGACATGAAAATATGTTGTTGATGTTAGTTCTGAATAATGCCCAACAAAGAGGAAATCAAGGAACTACTGTCTGATCTTGGGAGAGCTACATTGCGTGGTGTTCGCAAGTGTCCGAAATGCGGAACGTACAATGGGACGAGAGGTCTCAGTTGTAAAAACAAAGCCTGTGATGTTGTATTTAAAGAAGCAGGTGAAAAACGAAAATTTTCCACAGATGCTTGTCGTTTGCAGACAGGCTCTAATACACAAGTAGGTCTCATATTGCATTCATTTTATTTCGTTTCTTTTGAAAGGAAAGACTGATGACTGCTTTACTTTTATTTATAAGTAACCTGTCAACAGGAACCGTCTCACAATTTAAATTGCTATTAATAATTTGTCCATATTGCAGGTGTTTTCTGTGAGAGTGAGAGACAAGGGACCAGATTATAGAGGCTTTGTTCAGCTATTGACTGAGTCCGATCCTCTGTCAACTGGAGGCCTGGAGGCTGAGGACGGTACATTAATCAGTCCTAATGCTGCACTTTGCTTTGTCGACACATGTCAGCGCTCTTTTGATGCAAGTGTTTTGAAGTGCCATGTGAGTACTGATCTTTTCAGACTTTATTGTGACTTGCAAATAATTTTGGAGTAAAACTAATTCTCCTTTTTTTTTTTTTTTTTGTAGGAAAAGAACTCTGTTGTTTCATCTCTTCAGCCTGTATCATGCCAGCATATTGCTGCTGCTCTCCGATGCTTTGCTGAGTCTGTCCCTCTCACTTTAAAACCTACTGTTATCAACCTCTTAGATTGTGATGGAAATACAAAGCAAGTAAGCTTAATGTAAATTAAATACAATGTAAGTATAAATATTGGTTTATGTTACTTTGCTAATGGTTTTGTCCTAATTTGTTTGTTTTAGTGTCTTTGGAATCTGATTGCTGAGACTTCGGGACCACTAGTACAGCGTGTGTCAAAAACTATCATGGCTGTAAAGTGCAAACCATCTCCTAAGCACCCTTTAGGCTACCTTCACTTTGCTTTTCTAACTTCCAGAGTGAAAGATAGAGTGGAGCACAGACACTTCTGTAGTTGTCCAGAGTTCAAAGTAAGGCCTAACATGTTCTCACTTAATTTTTAGTTGTAGTAATGCATTTCTTTAGTTCTAATCTTTTTTTATATAATAAGGGTGGTAAGGATGACATCAGCCTTCTTAAAAGATGTGTACACTTCTATGCTTGTGTATGTGCATTTGTGAGTGATGACAAATTATCTGAAGAATTTGCACATTATGTGGAGATGTGTTATCCTCCATCATCTCCAAGTATGTTTTTTCAGCTTAATTTACATAATTTATTTTTAAATTTTCATTGAGAAGTATAACTCTCAACTACAATTTATTTTCACCTGTATTGTTTTGTAGACAGGGAAGAGCATCAGTTGTTCTCAATATTGAATGATGCTTTAGAAGGAGGCGCTGATCCATGTGAAGTGGAAGTGGTGCTACAGGATGAACCTCTTCTTCAGTCAGCAAGCATCAGTGTTGCAGAGGATGGCACAATAACACAGGTCAAAAGTTTGAGTAAACTTATACATTTTATAGAATTTGTAGTGTTTTGAAGTTCAGGTTGAAGTAGAAAACAAATTAATGTCATGTTAATGGTATGTCAATAGTTTTGTGACTTTTCTTATGTTTTTAGGTTCATGAGCTTGGAGACATACAAATTCATCCCCTCGATAGTGATGGCATGACATATAGTGCTGATGAAATAGCTGATATGCTTCCAAAAATATCTATTCCTCATGTTCAGGTAGGTAGATTTTTAAGACTTTGACTTTTTCCATACTTACCAGCTAACAGCATATACTTAAAAGTTTTAAAAACCATACTTAAAAATGTATTTCTTTTTAGCAGTCTAAATTGAAGCGTAAAAGAGAGGGTTCAGTAAATGAAGCACTCATGACTTTACATAAACCATTAGAGAGTAGTGTCCAGGCTTTATGCAGTTCCAAAGGAAGAGTGATAAGCGGGAACATCCGTGGAAATGGAAGTCAAAAACAGAGTGTCTCAGATCGCAAGCCTATGCCCAGCACTGCCTTTAAAAAGCAAGGTAAGCATCTATTTGAACTTCAGTCCATTATATATACATATATATCATGATTAACTTTGGGCCATTTGTTTCACATTTTAACATCTTGCTTATTTGTACTTTTAGATCCACCTGATGAAAACGAATCTAATGTGTCATTTATTCAATGGTTGGCCTCTGTCACTGAGCGAATAAATCAAACCATGCATTTTCAGTTTTGTGGGGACCCAGACCCTCTTGTTTTTCATGTCCCTCAGGTATACAGTAGAAATCATTTGATTATTATTTCTGTTGTTATATCAACTGCTTTTATGAATTCTTAGACTTGGATTTCTCTGTTTATTTTAGGTATTTTTTGATTGCCTGAGAGAACGTATGTCTACTCCACTAGGTGGGAACAAGAAAAGGCGCCTTCCAAATACAACTACAGTATTTGTTCGTAAGGACTCTGTTCCACTGGGTACATTTACCAAGTACACTTGGCATATTACAAGTGTTTTGTTTGTAAAACATATATTTGACACACCTCTGGTAAGTAACTTGATGCCTTTGAAAGTGGATGTCAATAAGAACATACTCAAATCTTACTTGAGGTGATATGGAAATTGAGTTATTCTTTGGTACCATTACCATTTTACTTTCAGATGCCTCTTGATATAATTAGGAGCTTTGTCGAGAACAGAGATGGCACCTATGATCTTTTTCACAACAGCAACAAGAAGGAAGATAAAAATTTTAATCTATCTAAAACAATGAAGAGACCTCTTATTAAGCCACTTGAAGTTCGAACATATCTCAAAGTTGGTCAGTATTTTCATGTCTACTACAAAAAATAAAATAAAAATTAAAGTCATGTTAAATGCTGTTTTTGTTGTTTTAACAAATATTTACAATGAATGATTTTAGGTAATACATCTCCTGACCAAATGGAACCAACTCCGTTTGTCATAGAGTGGATTCCTGACGTCCTTCCTTTAAGCAGGGTAGGTGAACTGAGACTTCAGTTTAAATTTGGTCACCAGAGATGTGGTTCAGAACAGGCTAGAAGCCCTTTCATCAGACAACCTTTGAAAACATCTGTAAAAAGCAGAGCATCAAAGGCAAAAAGACGCCAAAAACTAACACCATTTAGCCAACAGCAGGCCGCAAGCATATCTGTTCTTGTTGATCCAGAGGAACTGATGTCCTTGTAAATAATCTACCTTGGAGAAGAACCTTAGTTAAAGTAGTGGAAGATCAGTTGTTGCTTTAGTGTTAAAAGAACGATTAACTTTGTGTAAAACAGAGCTGTCAATATCTGGTATTGTCTTTCCAAAGATTACTGTTTTACTTGTTCCTTGTTTGCAAAATCGTTGAGTAATGTATGTGCACTCAAGTTGAATCTATCATTACCCACTAAATGAATCACTCATTTACTGATGAGAGTTCCTGAATGAAATTAATTCTTATGAGTCCATTATTGATACATGCATGCACACATATGTACTTTGCTCTCTAGTTATTTGACATGTGATGAGTGTTTCTTGCTGATTTGTAAAATTGACAAAAGTATTATGTCCATTTCAGTGATCATATCACTGCCATTTTCTTGTATGGAATCTGTGTGTTGGGCCCATATTTTATTTTATGATTCAATCATAAATACCATAGTAAACCCAAAATTTTGTAATTATATTAATATTTACATTATTCCCAGCATGTAATCGCCATATCCGGTTTAGGGAAACTTTAAAAAAATCTTGTCAAGAAAAACAGAAAAGGACCAATCACTGATACAGACTGGGATAACGGTGGAGCACACCTGGAAAAGAGCGTTCTTGAATCATTCTCTTCTTAGTGTTCAATGAAACCAAGAAGTAAGTCTGAAATGCAAATTTTTGGTCGGTCAATGTACTCGATTAAGAATATAGACTAAAACACCGCTTCACCTGTGCTCGGAGCGCATGGTTGTGAAGACGAAGCTGAGGTTGAAGAGGGCCTGGTACACGTAGGCGGTGGAGAGCAGGGCGCACAGGACCACGTGGAAGCGGCCGAGCCGGGCCGTGATGGCTTGGAGTCCGCTTTCCACGTCCATCTCGGCGGCGTAGCCCGAGCCCTAGGCGGCGCCCCAGCTGCCGCGCTGCCGCACTCGACCCCGAGGATGAAACTGTCCCGAAATGAGGAGGTCCTGCGAGTCCTGGGGAAGTCACTATATACCCGGCGCGGCGCTGCGCGTCGTTCGGTGGGGTGGCAGTTGCAAACTCTACCTTGATCACTCCAACCAGCAGAGGCTGGACGAGCGAAACACACAGACTTTGTCTATTTTCGCTGGAGCTGGAGGGAGAAGGAGTATAGTTCCGTCCCTCTCACTTCTTACTCTACTCGATCGGGCGGCCCGGCAGGTAGGCACGCCCGCCGCGCGGCGCTGCACAACTGTCGGGGTGGCTGCCTACCCTCCAGGCGGCTCGGGTTCTTCCCTCTCGACTCGACACGCACGTAACACGCACGCACGGCACCCGGGTCTGTAGGGGAATGATTTGGGATCTTGGACGCAGCGCCTCTGACGCTTGACAGAGCTCCATTTCCATGCAGCGGAGACATCTGCACGCCCAGCGCGCATCTCCCCGGGCCCTGTGCGCACTGAGTGCCTGAGGCCGCTGGTTATCCTCCCCGCACCTCCCACACACTGGGATTCTCAGAGACGTCTTGGAGGTGAACCATGTCAAATACAAAACTCGTTTTGGCTGGGCGCCAGAGAGGGGTGGAAAAGGGGAGACTGGGGGGGGGGGGGGCTTTGATTGGACAAATATAATACGCGGTGCTGTGATTTGCCGCCAGAGATCGCAGTGGCCAGTCCGAGCAGACGACGGGGACGGCCGACGGCGGCTCTGGCGGCTTTGGTGTCAGTCTGTTGTCAGTGTCTGCGTCGTGTTCGTGTCGACCGGTTGCTGCACGAGCGGATGGCAATCATAGCCTACGAGAACGTTTTTTCCTTTTTTAAAAAATAATGTCTCTCCCTCAAGCTCAGCTCGACGTTTATTTAAATCTTCTCAGGCAGAAGGGTGCGGAAAGTCGAGCCGCGTACAATGTGGAATTCCAAGTAGGTCTTTGGTACCCATCCTATACAGGAAACCTTTTAAGTGCTCTTTTTTGTGACATTATTAACTTTTCCTTTCACAGGCAGCAAAGGATTGGGTGAATGCCGCATTAGAGGAGGCAATTTCGAATGAAAATGCCCAGCCACCGAAAGTTCATGCTCCGAAAACACCTGTTGGCAAGTCCAAGGTAGCACTTGCGGGTATGTATGGTGAAAAGTAAACAAACACCACTACTTTATTTTCTTATTTATTTTCTGTATATTAATCAAGTCTAAATTTGAATTTCAGCTCGTCAATTGTACACATCATGGAGTGATTCAGAAGAGTCGGAAGTAACATCTACTACCAATACATATGATAGAGAGCTCAAGGTAGTTTGTCAGAAAAAGTTCACGGTTGAATAGTTATGTTTTTTCTTATGGTTTCTTTTAATTCCTCTTTTTATATTCCATTGTAAAACTGTAGATTGAACCACCTTCCAGTGAAGAATCCAGCTCATTTGAGTCTTCAGTAAATAATAATACGGTAAGAAATGTTGAATATTGAAGAAGCCTTCAGGTATTCATCAATAATGTTCCAGATTTGTGTATCATTCATATCATTTTGTTTTACTCTGCTCCTTGTTTAATTTGTCCAATATTTTCAGGTGCGTCAAAGCAGCAGCGTGTATCATAATAAAAAAAAAAGACTGAATCCTAAGGAAAGCATTGGGGCAAACAGCACCTATGTTAAAGCAAAGCCTGATCACAAGGAGAGCATAGGAGCCAACAGCACCTATGTTAAAGGACCTGAGCACAAGGAAAGCATAGGAGTCAACAGCACATATGTGAAAGAGAGTCAATTCCACAAGGAAAGCATAGGAGCTAACAGCACCTATGTTAAAGGACCTGATCACAAGGACAGTATTGGAGCCAATAGCACATATGTGAAAGAGGGCCAATTCCACAAAGAGAGCATAGGAGCTAACAGCACTTATGTTAAAATACCTGCTCACAAGGAAAGTGTGGGTGCCAACAGCACATATGTTAAAGATGAACTAATCCACAAGGAGAGCATAGGAGCCAACAGCACATATGTTGTGCAACAAGCCAAAAATTCTAAGCAGACTGATATGATCTCTAGTGATGGAGCCTCATATTCAGGTACTAGTATAGATCAGTCAATTTTAGAGGCTTCTAGAATTGCTGTTGAAGAGGCTATGAAAGGACCTGATCGACTGACTCGAAACAAGGCAAAAGCAGTGGCTCAAAGAGCTGCCCAGCAAGCACAGGTTGACGTACCAGTCAAAAGCAACAAATCAAGAAGTGGGGTGAGTTGTATGAATAAAATTGTGATAGTACTATTCTGAAGCATGTCATAATGTCCCTGACGTTCATGTGTAGGAGGCAAAGGCTGCTTTACGGCAGGCCCGAAAATCTTTGAATCGTGCCAAAATTGTGGCTATTGGAAAGTCAATTGATTGTCACCCAGGAAAAGTATGGTGCTCCCACACTAAAATGGTTTGTTGTAACTCGAGTTATTTTTTTTTGTTTTTATGAAGACTGATACAAAAAAATGATTAATAAATCCTTTCCGTATAGGATTGTAATTGTAATAAGCCAATAAGAGAAGGCAGACTGCGCTGCGTGTCGCAAACTGAGAGTTCATCTCCTTGTATAATTAACAAACATTTGGCTGTGGCTAAGATTCAGCGAACTTTGTCTCATAATGATTTGAAGGTGCAGTTAATCTATCTGACTTAACTTGTCTTTGACATTGGTTTGGAGGGACATGTTTTAAGTACTGAAAATTATGTTTCATTAATTCTAGGAAACGACATCTGTTGGCAAAAAAATTCTTTCATCAGCCAAGGCTGCTCCAAACACATCTGTAAGGACAAGAGTTTGGTGTGTCTGTTCCCATAGCATAGAATCATTTTTCAATTATATTTTTGTGTTTTTTTTTTACTGCCTTGAAGAGCAACCAGGGCAATCGACTGCAAGTGCTAGCAGCAAAAACACTCTCCTTATGCCAGAAGAAGGAGCCACTGAAAATAAAGTCAGCTGAGATGGCAAAGTAAGATTTTTCTTGGTCACTGCTCTTAATTTATTTCATGTAATTTTAATTTTAACTGTTGCAGGACGAAGCAACTAGAAAAGGCAGTTCAACCCTCATCTGTCAGAGAATGTGAACGAGTGGCTGTAAAGATAAAACATGTAGCAAAAGTGCCTGTGAAAAACAATTTAAATGTTTTGTCAGAGAAGAAGGTTGTTTTAATATTTCCTGAAAATCTTTTTAAAAGCTGTTGAGATCACCAACCATATAACCTGGTAATTTTTTTAACAGGTGGTGCAAGATATTGATTCTGATAAAGCTAGTTTTATTAAAAATGTTGCTAACCAAGGACTTTCCTATTTGTGAGTAAAATGGCATTTAGTACAGGAGTTGTTAATGTGTGTTACTGTAGCCTTATGTTTTACTGTAGGTGTTGAGCGCACCTTGTTAATTTGGGTATTACTTCTGTCCCTTGTCTTTAGAGCAAAGCCATTACATTTGAGAGTTCAGGACACAAACTCAGTGCCTACTAAAACTTATCCTACTATCACTAAGGTTTTTATGACCAATATAATGTGGTAGTATGTTGTACCTTATCATTAGACTTAATCTAATTCTGTTTTTTTTGGTCTGAAGTCTGCAGATCTGCCAATCAATCAAACCTTTGAAGTTGGTTCTTATGACATTAGTTTAGATCCTAATGAGCGAGCTCCTCTGCCTAGCAAAAATGAAAATGACTATGGCTTAGATGATGTTCATTCCGATGACTCTAGTGATGATGAGGAAAATCCTAAGAAAGTTTTGCCATATTGGGCACGAGGTACAACTTAACATTTGCAGAGTTGAATTTTGACTTGCATGAGTACAATAATATTAATATTTCTTTGTGTTCCATCAGCGCACGTGAGAGCATCACATTTGAACTTGCAGCATGAAATCTCTCACTCACAAATGTTTACGTTCTTTG